GAAAGAGAGAGAGAATCAACAGGTGAGGGGCAGAGAAAGAGGGAGACACAGAATCGGAAGCGGGCTCCAGGCTCTGAGCTGTCAGTACAGAGCATGACGTGGGGCTTGAACGCATGAGCTGTGAGATCATGACCTGAGCCAAAGTTGAATACCCAATCGACTGAGCTACACAGGTGCCCCTAGAAATCTAGAAATTTTTTTAACCCTGGTTCCCAAAGGATGGTTTAGGGACCAGCACTGATATCAATAGCAGCTGCAGATAATTTCTTAGAAATGCAAATTCTCTGGCAACACCCCACAACGATATAAAAAACTCTTGGTGTGGGGCCCAGCAGTGTGTTTTCAGCAAGCTCTCCAGTTGATTCTGATGCACCTACGATTAATCGAAAGCAAATCTTCTCTCAAAACTATGTCTCTGAAGTGAATCAGTGACTTGAAAATTCCATAATATACTTAAATTATGCTATTTTAAACAACTGTTTGGCACTGTAACTTAATGTAAATATCTTTAAGAAGTAATGTTCAAATCATCAAACATCTTTGCTTTACCTTCAATTTAACCTAAAAGTTACCTTTTATTTTACCCTAATATGCTTTACTGTAATGAATTTATTCCCTGATCCCAATTCAGTGTTACTATTTCAGTAGTGAAGTTCAAATACCTGTGTAAGACTGTTCAAATGTATCCTCTGGAAAACTAAACACCAAACTTGTTCTCTTGTGCTGCCCTCTGCCAATTCAGAAGGCCAAGTTCATTTATTTAAAGCACTACTCAATAGTCCCAAGGAGGATAATCACTTCATCAAATTATTCATTAGACATGAATAAACTATCGCTTAGCTGTAAGAAAAAAATGGAGTGAACCTCTAAAATGTTAGTTTGAAACTGACCTGCAACTCCTACTTGATGTGTCGCATATCCTGGTAATCTGCTGGGTCCTTCTCCCAGCCACAGTGTCAGTGTGGATGAATCCGACTCTGCATGGTGAAAGCAGAAACCCAGGGAAGCAGCAGGGGCAATATATTGGCTTTGGAGGATGGGAATGTGCAGCCATACCGCTATCCTACCTTCTGACCTCCATTGCTGTATTGCAGCTAAAATGCAGATGAGAAAAATCTGTAAGTATTTTCCAGTGAAAGAAGTGGGAGAAATAAAAACTCATCTCAAGGTGTCACCTCTTCCAAAAAGCCATCTTAAAACATCCACCTCACCTTGTAGTTAGCTGGGAGAATGGGGCAGGGGATCCCAAAATGTAACAACTGACACAACGCTTGGCACATAATTGGTTCCGTTTTGATGCTGTTCCTTTTAACATCCTTAGTTTTAATCTTTATAAATGACCATTATGGGCTTCTATTTATTCTTTCTTTAAGAGTTCTGTGACAATATTTTTGGCTTATAAATTTCAAGGTGGTTAAAACCCTAACTTTGTTTTTAAATAATATATACTAGTTCTGGGAAATTTTGAAAATAAAGTATAATGAAATTAAAACTTCATTATCTTAATAGAATGCAGAGATAAACATTTAAATGTTGACATTTTCCCATGAACATTGGAACTGACATCATACTACATATAATTTACAGCATGTCTTTACGACATTAAATGTAAACATTTTGCTATGTCATTAAAATTTTTAATGAACATAAATTTTTAATGACTACATAATTTTCCTCAGATAGGTGTACCAAAAGCTACTTAACCAACCTCCTACTCTTGGATATTTGGATTATTTCTAATTCTTATTATAAATAATACCAAGATGAACATAGATTTTTCTGTTTTTGACTTCTGTAAATTCTCTTGCTTTATTACTTAAGATTGAGCCAGGGGAAAAAGATGCTAATATTTAGTCCTTACTAAGTTCTAGACACTCTACATATAATACCTCATTAAGTTCTCACAACCCTAAAAGGCAAGTATTATTGACCTTAATTTACGAGTGAATACTGCAGTTCTGTTTTTTTTCAATGTTTGAGAGACAGAGAGCATGCATAAGCAGGGGAGGGGCAGAGAGAGAGAGAGAGAGAGAGAGAGAGAGAGAGAGAGAGAGAGAGAGAGTCAGTCCCAAGCAGGCTTCATGCTGTCAGAACAGAGCCCAACCCCAGGCTTGATTTCACCAACTGTGAGATCATGACCAGCTGAAACCAAGGGTCAGATGCTTAACCTACTGAGCCACCCAGCAACCCCCCCCACCCTTTTTTATTTTTTAAGAATACTGGAGTTTTAGAAAAACTTCTCAAATCACTTTTTCTATCCATCATCTCACTTAATCTTTACAATAATCTTGCAAAGTGTGTGTATGTGTGGTAGTAGGAAGGCTTGATTATTTATTTAATGGTTAAATTCCTTTCCCTCTTCTCTTCTCCAGATGTGCAGTAAGTGACTGTTAAGGACCATGTTCTCTACCTCTTTAAAAGTCAATGTACCTAACAAGGTGAAAATACATAGGAGCCTTTCATAAAGACTTCTTGATTTGGGGCTATGGAGTCAGATCCTTCTCACCTCCCTCTTTTTCCGATTAAATCTTTTAAAAATTGACACGCAATTACAATTACAAAAAGTGAAGTGCACAAATCTTAAGTGTACATTTAATGAGTTCTGACATATTCATACACCTGTGTAACCCACTCCAATAAAGATTATAGGATGTTTCTCTCATTCCAGAAATTTCCCGTATCTTCCCCAATCATTCCAATTGAGTGAAAAAGCTCAAGTTCGACATAGTTAACAACAAAATTTGCACTAACTCTTAGAGACAACATAATGCATTAAGAACAGATTCTAGAGCTAGAGTCTAGGGAAGTTACTTAATCTCTCTGTGCCTCAGTACCATCACCTTTAAAATAGAGGTAAAAGTATCTACCTCACAGAATCATTATGAGGACTAAATGAATATCTGTGAAGTTCTTAAACCAGTGTCTAGCAATACAATTCATAAATGTAATAGAATGTTTTATTAAAGACTATAGGTACATGGTACTACACAGATTATAAACTAGTTTCATATAATTTATCTTAGATCACCACATCTATCCAGTAAAGTAAAAAGGGCTGGCATTATTTGCATAAGCAACCTAAGAGGCAAATTTTTCAGTGGTGATTTGTCTAATGCCTGGGTAAGCACCTGGCAGAACCTGGGACTTGAAACCTGGATGTGTGACTCCAACCCCAATCCTCCTGTTTTGCTTTGTTGGCTAAGGTAGTGCTTTAATCACCTGGCCAGTGACAAATGTATGCAATAAATACCAGTCTCTACCCACACATACGCAGACATATTAGAGGATGAACACTGATTTGATTCTCCTACTGCTGATATTGTTGAAATCAGCAATTATTCACGAACAGAGAAATGAGGTGAACAGGTATGTAGTTTGGGAGTCAGAATAATTAAAGAATGAAATAACTAGCTCAATTATATTAATACAGATGCTCACTTCCCATGTTGTGCAATAGGATAAAGATTATCTGAAGTTTCCTTTAAGAGAAGATCCTTCAATGGCTGAATTTCTACGCTATGCCTTCATTTCGAACATACGGACCCTCATGGGCAGTTTGAAAAACTCCAGCCAAATCACAGGCTTCTCTCATAATGAAGGCTCCTCCACCCAAGCTTGCTATCTTATCTTTGGACTTGAGGTTCAAGAAGAGTGAAGAGTTTTCTTATTGAAGACCGACACAGCCCACCATGCTCGTTGGTTAATCATGAAAGACTTGTCGCTCTGTTTTAGAAGCAAACTCTAGTTTTTGATGAGTCAGCCTGATCCAATTTGTGTACAAAACTGACCACTTCGAACCTCTCTGGTCCACTCACTGTCCACCACCTGTATAGTTTTGTCTAGGGCAAAGTGCTCCGCATAACTAAGGCTCAGTAAATGACAGTCAATAATAATGGAATAATATTACCACCTACTGAGCGTTAAGTACGTGACAGATACCGTGCTAAGCACTTTACGTGCTTCACCCTCAGCAATCCTATGCGTTGCTAACCAGTTTTATGGAAGGGGAAATGGTAGTTGACAGAACTTGCCGAAGGTCACACGCTAGAAAGGTTACCAGAAACTAGTGCTGCCGATCTCAAGGTCTAGAATAGTCACCATTTCACCCAGCTGCCTCAGAAATCTCCCAGCAAAGGGAACAAGAACAAAACAGGGGAAACTGATACAGGTCACATTTGCCCTCTCGGTACTTGACTCGCCGAGAGCATGACTAGTGAACGCAGGACACCCTGTTACTTCATTAGAAACGCTCAGGAAGCCAGGGAACCCCTCGGCCAAGGCACACTTGCCCTGCAAGACCTTCTGGAAAGAGGCGGCGTCCAGGCGGTCCAGTGCGCGAAACCGCTCCAGATGCACCGAGATGCCCCCGAATCTGTCCGGCTCGGCTCGCAACACGTCCGCTCCGGCGAGAGCGTCCCACCTGCAACCCGGACCGCCCGAGGCCCGGCGGTGCCCTGCCCAGAGCCTTTCGCCGCGGGTCCGCGTGAACACCGCGCGCCAGAAACGCCCGCTCAGAAATGGCGGCATCTTCAAGTCCCCTTTCGACCACTCGTTAGGCCCCTAAAATCAACCTTCCGCCTAGGTCAGGAGCGGAGGTCATTACCATAAATTTTAGAAGAGTGCCACCCATCTATCTCAGAGTTGAGTTAACGCCACTTTCGTAGCGCTTTACCGAAGAGATCACGAAGTCCTGTCCACCAGGTCCTCTCAGGAATTTGGCTGGTTCCAGGAAAGCTGAGGAGAAACTTTTCCACCTGTTTTTAAGTCAACAGACGTTTGTCCAGGAATAGGGAAGTCAGGCAGAGATTTAAAAAAAATCCTCTCAGGAATTTACAATCTAAATGACGGTTGTGTTTACGTAATCCACCTTCCTTTGTAAAAGTCATAACCTCTTCAGCTTCTTCAAAGACGGCGAGTTCTGAAAACGCTCCGTTCTCCCTCTAATTGCGCTCCACTCTGGGGATTACGGTGAAGGGCGGAGCCTCGTTGACTTCTGCCCCGGAAGTTTTTCTTCCAGAGGAACGCGCACGTTGAGCCGCCTTTGCAGTTGCTTCTTTCAGGCTACCTTCTGATCATGTCTTCCAAGAAGAACAGAAAACGACTGAATCGAAGCGCAGAGAATGGTTCAACCTCACCCTCTTCTGCTTCCTCTTCTTCGGGGCCCTCGGCTCCTCCTGGGCCAGGCACCGCGGCGGCGGCTGGGACTCTGGTGGTGACCAACTTTTTAGAAAAGGGTAAAGAGTTTTGGGTGGGAGACCTGAGGCCGGGGGCGCAACCTGGGAAAGCGTAGACCTAGCGATGCCGCCCTTATGATGCAGAGGCTTCTGAAAACTGGTCGAGACATAGGTGTGAGAGTAGCACAGAATTTTGTAAGATGCCCGAAGCCACGCCTACACTGAAGAAGTCAGGCAGAAACGGCTTATCCGTGGCTAAGTCAAGCCATCTCTTCTGTGAATTGTTTTGAATTTGTAAGTTATACTTGAAAAATGAACGACATATTTAACTGCGAAGTTGCTTAAAGCTAGCGAGTATAGTGTATACATACAGAAGAAAACTGGACACCCAGTTCAGTGAAGATGTGGACGCATCTTCCTAAGAGCGTTGTGTCTTTGAGAATGAAAGCCTTAAGGTTTTTTTTTTTTTTTCTTCTGTTAGACAGGTTCTGGTATTTAATAACAGCTATCAATTACATACTATTGTTATCAGTAGGTTACTTATGTCACACATATATCTCATTTAATCTTCACAGAAACCCTGGAAGATAGGTACAGTATCATTATGCCTATTTTACAAAGGAAGAATAGTTAACGTGATTGGCTCCAGGTTCCACAGGTTTACTAAGTGGTAGGCGGTATTTGACTCTGAAGCCATTATCCCAGATACCAGCCCCCTTGAGTTAAGAGAACGGATTTGCCTGAAAAGTTATTTAGTTGGTAAAGCTTCTGGGTTGAAGCTGTGTGTTACAGCTTCGAAAAAACGGATCACCGGCCAACCTAGTGGCAAGATTTTTACTTCTGCCTAATGTTGATCCTAATCACAATTTTAGAGTTAATACGGTGTTTTCAGTTTCCTTTAGGGGGTCAGAGGACAACTTTTTCTGTCCTGCATATTCAACCTCTTTTTTAACTGGACCCTTTTTATTGAAATTTAAACCTGATTTCTCTTACATTTTAAATCAAAACAAAAGTTCTACATTTTCTTCTTATCACCATCCTCTCTCTCTGTCCATCCTTTCATTGCCATTTTTTTTTTAAGATTTGCTTTTAAAAAAAGTTTATTTACTTATTTTTGAGATAGAGAGTGTGTGTGGGGGGAACGGGCAGAGAGAGAGAGGGACAGAGAGAATCCCAAGCAGGTCTGTACTGCGTGCACAGAGCCCGAGGTGGGGCTTGAACCCACCAACTGTGAGATCATAACCTGAGCTGAAATCAAGTGTCAGATACTTAAGTGACTGACCCACCCAGCTGCCCCTTAAGATTTGGTTTTTAAATAATCCCTTCACCCAACATGGAACTGTATCTTACAACGTGGAGATTAAGAATTGCATGCTTTACTGACTGAGCCAGCCAAGCGCCCCTCATGCCAAATTTCTTTAATGGAGTAGTCTCTATCTCCTCATTTCTCACCTCCTAATTAGCCTATTTCTCTTTTGGTATCCATTCCATCATTCCATGGAAACTGTCCCTGCCATGGTCACTGATCATATCCATGTTGGTAAATACAATGGACAGCTTTTCATTACTTCCCTTACTTGACCTCTCAGCAACTTTTGGTGTTGTCTACCATTTCCTTTTTCTAAAAATAGTTTAATTTTTGACTTATGTGTCATTAAATGTTCCTAGTTTTTCTCTGTCCTTTTGTTGGTACGTAGTTTTTCACTTTCCTTTGCAGGCTAATCTTCTACTTGGCTGCCAGATGTTTCAGTTCTTCAATTTTTTAGTCCTGAAACCCTTTTTTTCTCTGTACAAATTTTTCTTGGGCAAGCTCATCCAGTGTCCATAGTTTTCCATCTATACCCTCATCATTTTTGTAATTATATTTGTAAAATATACTATTTCTGAGTCTTTGTTCAGTTGTCTTCTAGACCAATACTGAAACTTTGTAAGGAAGTTTTTAAAATATCATATGTAAAGCTTAGTGCTGTTGTAAATATAATAAAAAGAAATTACTAGGAAAATAAATTTAAAAATAGAAATTTTTATTAGATTCAACAGATATGTGATTAGTCTGTCCAATTGTAATAAAAGCTTCTAAGTAAACCCTTGTTTTCTGTATTTATCCTTTCATGAACTGGTAACAAATAGTTTGCTGATCACACTTTGTATAGCATTGCGCTATACCTCTTCTCTTGGATTTTTCAAAGGTACTTAAAGACTGACCTCATAAACGCATATTTTCACAACAAAACAAACTCAGGACCTGTTCAATTTTCCATTGTAAAATTCAGAATCCTAGGGGTCATCCATGGCATCTCTTTCACAGATCTCACATATCCAGTTCACTACCAAGTTCTGTTTATCACCTACATTCCTCTTCTTTATTACCACTGTTTCTACCTTGATCTCAAACACCATCATCTGTCACTTGGACTACTGCACTAGTCACTCCCCATTTTTTTCCCCCACTGTGCAGCCAGAATGATCTTTAAAAACGAACATCTTGTCATGAGTTTGCTTTTCACCCCTAAGTGATCTTCAGTTGCTGTCAGGAGCCCAGCAGCTTCCTATCAGCCTACTTCCCTGGGAGGTCTTGACCTTCCTTACATGGCCCCTTCTTGTCTCCTGCCATTCTGCGTGTACTCAGGTATATAATTCTTCCTTCTGTCCAGTACTTTTCTGTACAAGCTGTTCTCTTTGTCAGGAATTCTCTTTATTCCCTCTTCATTTAGTTAATTCCTCTTCTTCCTTCAGATCTGAATTTCAACATTATTTCCTTGGAGAAGCATTCTCTGGTTCTTCCCAATTAGATTCCACTTTATAGGCTCTCCTGGCCCTCTTGGTCATTCTTTCATTGTATTAATCTTAGTTTACAACTACAGAATTATTCAGTGATTGTTTAATAACTCCCTCATCCTATTGGATCATAAGCTCTGAGAGGCCAAGGACTGTCTGCTTTTGTTCACTTTGTATTCCTAGTGCCTAACGTATTATCTGCCATGTTGTAGGCACATAGCAAATGTTTGCTGAAAGAACAAATGAAGAGTGGATGGTTGTTTGAAATGACCTTTACTGTCTCGTTAGTTAATTTGGCACATAAAGTGCTCAATAATGTATAGTTAATAGGGAAAGTGGATGTTGAGGTATATTTTTAAAGTATGGTATTGGAGGAATGAGGACTGTAAGAGAATGTGTGGAGATGTATTAGGAAATAAGGCCAGTGAATGAGAGTTTGAACATGATCTTCATTGGTGATAAGGAGGAAGTGGAGTATTTAGAGAAGCCTGTGATTTGTCAAATTCTGGTGCATGGTGAATGTGCAGGATAGGATGGAAGGAAGAAGAAAACCTATAGTCTTGCCAAGGACTGGATATACCTGGGAGGTAATTTTCAAGAGGAAAGGGTAATTTATTGAGGTTTAGAAAGACAGAAGTGGCAGAAAAGTGAACATTATTAAGTCATCAAAAGGATTCTTTGGTGTTATTGATGAGTAAACTATGTTAAGAGACCTGATGCTCGTAGGAAAGTTGAATTTCTTTTCAGCCTCATATTGTGAAATATGCTTATTTTATAAAGTGTTCAGTACTGTTAATCTTAGCTCTGTGAGATGCTTTGTTTTTCTCAGCTGATGACAGAAAATAAGTGTGTTGTGTAGTTATTTTGTAGTGGCAAAAAATAATTAGATACACCTCATGATTTTATTTTTATTGACTTAGTTCCTTTTAAACTCAAAGTATCCTTTTTTTGATTATTAAGGAACACCAATATTAGAGAACTATGATTATGGTCTATGTGTCTAATAATAAAGTTTGTAACAAAGTTGTGACAAGCTAAAATTTCGTGTTTCATTGATTTTGTGCTGAAAAGTAAAATGCTGTGTAGCCATCTAGTATGTTCACTGATTTCATGGATGTTTATTATGCGACTGCTATATTTGGCACTCCTAGGCATTGGAGATACAAAGATGAATTTGACCCAATTCCTGCCAAAGCAGCACAGGGTTTAGGAGAAAGTCAGACTGAAAAACAAATGTATATTATGATGATAAATACTAATATCTGACAGCATAGGGTGCTGAAAGAATCAAAAGAAGGACCAAATGTGTACTTGAGGAGGTGGTTGGGTGGGGGTGGACATATCAGCACATCATTTTCAGAAGTGTCGTCAGCTGGGCTGAATTCTAATCCCTGTCCTTGGCCAAAGTTGAAAACACAGAATGGTCATTTTGGTCAGTATGTACTTGCCTAAGGAATAAGACCTGTGTTCCTATTTTATCCATTTGTTCCTGGGATTAAAAAAGAAAACTCTTGAATTGCTATCATGTGGATCAGAAGTGGAAATGTAACTTAACCCTCCAGAACCAAATGCCAGTTCCCCAGCTCAAGTCTTTGAATATTAGTAGCCAACTCGACTTAGAATCTGTAGTACAAAGGTCGCTATGCAAGTATGAAAAGCCTTGTTGCAGGCATGTGCAGTTCTTAAAAAAGTTAGAGATCATATTTCTTAAAAGATGGAAACTAATACCTACCCCGTAAGACATCCTCTTTTAGTTAGCACTCAAACTGTCAGTCAGTGGACCCTTAGAAAGGTTTGGTTTTAAGTATTTTCGTTAAAGAGGATTGGAACTGGTTTCTTCAGAGTATGGTAAGTGCATTCATTTGGTTATGTGGCTAGAAGATTTTAATTTACTCCCAACAGAAAGCAGGCTTTAATTTCAGTAGTTATAAAATAGTATGAAAATAATTTTCTTCCCCTTTTTGGTAGATGACAGAGTTCCTAAAACATTCCAAAATTCCCTTGTTCAACTTGGACTCAACACTATGAAATCTGCAAATATATGTATAGGTCGACCAGTGTTGCTTACCAGTTTGGATGGAAAACAAGAGGTAAGAGTGTTTTTCATTTCCTTAGTTTAGAAAGATTTGTGACATTTTTTATTTTAGTTTTCAACAAAGTAATAAATGAAAAACTATATTTTAAATGACCCTCACATCTGTATAAACTTTTCCTTCCTTTGATATCTATGACTACCCTGTCAATAGTAGCCTCTAAATGTCATAATATAGACAGAGGCCTTTTCTCCCAAGGTGGTGACACACACTAGCAGCCCTGTCTCCTCCAGTTTGTTAATTGTATTTCTTCATAGAAATGTTGTTTGGGAGTATGAGTGTCCTCTCAAATATGAGTGTCATCACAAATATGTGATTACTTTTCCTGTTTTCAGCTGTTTGTTCTTATTGTTATTCATTATATTTGAGGCTCGAAACCCAGAACCTTTTCCAGGATCATTTTTGCCAGGTTGGTCTTTCCTGCTGCCGGCCTCTGCCTCTGCTATGTCTTCTGCTGCTTGATTAGTCAGTGTTCTCTCATCCAGTGGCGTCCTCTGAAAATGATTTGAAATCTATTAGGTGCTGATGGCACAGTTCTCATTCTTTTCATTATTCTTAAAAAAGAAAAAGAAAAAAAGTTCTTCACTGTGTTTTGTGGAGACTATAAATATGTGAGCTCAGACCACTATCTGGAGCTGGAAATCTTCACTTCTCTTCATTAACATTTAAGTCTAATGAGATTCAGGTTCCCATGAAGCTCTTGTGCCAGCTCCTTCACTACTTCCTGGATGAAGTTTATGTGCCAGGCTTACAGTTAGCTTGTCTTTAGTATTTTTTCCCATTTTCTTATTGCATGTTAATGCCTTTGTCTCTTTTTTGTAAATTACCTTTCAAATCTTCTACCGATTTCACCATGGTATCATTCCTAATCTTCACAAAAAGACATAATTAAGTACTTATTTAAAAAGTTTTTTGGGGGCATGTGGGTGGCTCAGTTGGTTGAGCATCTGACTTTGGCTCAGGTCATGATCTCACAGCTCGTGAGTTTGAGCCCTGCATTGAGCTCGCTGCTGTCAGCACAGAACCCGCTTCTGATCTTCTGCTCCCCTCTCTCCCTGCCCCTTCCCTACTTGTGCTCTCTCTCTCTCTCAAAAAAAAGTAAATAAGTAAGTAAATAAATAAATAAATAAAATTTTTTGTACCTTGTGTCAGATTCTAAGTCCTTTGGGGGTGAGGACTGTGTTTTGCAGATCCATATACTTAGTTGTGCTTAGTTTTCTGCCTTATAAATTAATGATTTTCTATGAATATTTATTTTCTCATATTTTTATTTCCTGTGTTCTGGGCAGGTCTATACGGCCTGGCCTGTGGCAGGATTTCCTGGAGGCAAGGTTGGCCTGAGTGAAATGGCGCAAAAGAATGTGGGCGTGAGCGTTGGTGATGCCATTCAAGTCCAGCCTCTATTGGGTGCTGTGCTTCAGGCTGAGGAAATGGATGTGACACTCAGGTTTGGTGCTTTTCTTTGGTGACAATCTAAATGAGTGCTGCCCAGCAGAAATAGAACAAGAATCACAAATGTGAACCACATATATAATTTTGCATTTTCTGGTAGCCACTTTTAAGAAGGAAAATCAAGTTGGTGAAATATTTTATTTAATATGTAAGTTAGTCATTATTTCAATATTAATATTTAGTATTACACCAATTGTAAAATTTTATTTTAACTTGTAATAACTATAAAAAACTGTTAATAAGTTATTTTCCATTCTGTTTTTCAAACTAAGTCTTAAAAAATCCACTGTGTATGTTAAACTTGCCAGCACACCTCAATTTGGACTAGCCACATTTAAGTGCTCAATAGCCACACGTGGCGAGTGGCTAGTGTTCTACTGTATTAGACAGTACAAGCTAGATGAGTGCTACTTAATGTATGGACTAGAGACTGTATTGCCGTGTGATTAGAGTCTGCCCTGATTTTTTTGGTGAGAGGAATTATTACCAATGTATGTTCCACAGTAGTTTTCATCTTGGATCGCAGTGTAATCAGAGATGTTGTAAAGGAGGGAGTAGATTACCGTGAATAGGCAAGAAATAAGTTTTAATCAAGACTGTTCAAGCAAAGTACCTGATTATATATTTTAACTCATTGATTATTCAATCTAATAAAACAGTTATATTTATTAGATTTTGAAAGTCCCTCATCAAAGACTAATTGTTTGAATCACCTTATCAATGCAGTTAAAGTATATCACCAGTCGTCTTGGATATTCTGTTTGCAAGAATCACAAAACGTTTTCCAGTCGTTAGTTTGATTTTAAAATGTTTTCTTCTCTTTTGATAGTTTTGTAGATTTCAAGCTTGAGCATTAGCATATTTTTTTTTCTTATAAACCAGGAAACATTTTTCAGAGAACTTAATAATATTTTAGCAAACAGTAAAATAAAAGGAAGAGAGGAAAGGAAAACTCAGCATGTGTTGTGCACCAGCTGTGTACTAGCACACACATGCATACACACCTTTTCTTCTCTCATTTAATACTCTGAACATCCTACAAGGTGCCCATATTTATCCCATTATTAAAGATGAGGAGGGGAGCCTGGGTGGCTCAGTCAGTTGAGCGACAGACTTTGGCTCAGGTCATGATCTCACGGTTTGTGAGTTCGAGCCCTGCATCGGGCTCTGTGCTGACAGCTCAGAGCCTGGAGCCTGCTTCTGATTCTGTCTCCCTCTCTCTCTGTCCTTCCCCCTCTCACACTTTGTCTCTGTCTCAGAAATAAACAAACATTAAAAAAAAATTTTTTTTTTAAAGATGAGGAAATGGCCTGGGTGAGAAGTAACTTACCCATTATTTTATGGGTTAGGTAGTAGTTCTGCACAGATTAAATGGTATTTATCTTTAGAGTGTTTTGAGACAGTGCTGCAGGTTGCAGGCATCAGTTGATTGGATTTTTGATGATCTAGCTAGTGTGACCTCTTGAGGGCGCAGCAGTCTTAGGTGATGACGATAACCTACTATACAGGGACTGTATGTGTTTAAATGGCAGCTTCGTTTTTACAATTTTATTAAAAAATCTTGTGTTTTAAATGTGGCAGCAGAGCTTAGACAAGAAACTTAATTTCAAGTAAGATAAATCAGTAATTTTAATCTGTGGATCATACCCTTCGTTTGCTTCTGAAAAATTTTATTAGTAAGGTTAGAGCTCCTTCTAGTGGAAGTAATTTTATCTGCACCTATTCATTTTTTAAAAGCAAAACTTAGTATTTTTACCATTCTTATACTCGTTTGTGAATATCTTCTATTCAGAGTTTAATAAATAGAAATGATTTAAATGTAACTGGTTTCAGAGTTCTATCAACAGAAGTGAATTTAAGCATTTAAGGAGATACAATTTCCCGTGTAGTTTATATATACATTTGATTTGAAATTTCCCCCTTGTTCTTTTTTTTCTCTCTGTAAGAATACACAGTCGATTCTCATTCTTAGTGCTAAGTATGTTCTATAAAGTTGCTGTGAGTACTGTATTAGCAATGTATGTATATATTTATATTTAATGTTACATATTTAGTTTTAAATATTTAACGTATGTTATATATAATAGCATATGCTAATAATGTTACTATATTTAGTATAAATATATACATATACATATCTTACCATACATTATAATCCCAAAACAACTCATTCTGATAGATTTTCACTTCTTTGTTTTATAAAAGAGAAGTGGTAGTTCAGAAATGTTGAGTGACTTGCCGGAGGCCACCTCACTGACAGATACCAGTTAGGATTCAAATCTCCAGCTCACCCACGAGCTGCACTTTCTGCTGTACACTGCACTGCCTCCTACCATCTCTGCCATCTTCTTGTTGTCTCTGGAAGAATGAAAACAAGAGTTCTTTTTCAACCTCAGCTAGGAAAGTGTTTAGTGACTCCATCGTTTTGCCTGCTCTACACATGTCCGTGAATGACTAGGCAAGCTCTTTTAGTATTGATTTTGGGGTTACAAATAAATTGTAGCAGGTGGGTGAATCTGCAAATAATGAAGTTGACACTATTGGTTTCGTTTGTTGCTGATAAACTGATTGGAGAACAAGGCTTAGATTTGGACCAGATGGGTCTGCTAATATACCTCTTCTTGAGCTAACCTATCACTTTTCCACCGATCTCTGGACAACCTCACAACCGTAGCCTCCTCTGCTGGTATGGGCTACTTACATGTGGGGAATAAGGAAAAATGCACCTATTCTGAGAACTGCCCAAGAACATGTTTCTTCACCAGATTTTTAGATGTACCTACTTCCTATACTCAAGCAACCTTTCTGAAAAACAATCATTAGCTGGAAGAAAGGATTCTCATTTTTCTGTAGGCATGCCCTTTCTCCAGAATAAAATTCCATTAGACCATTACTCTCCCTTTTTCTTATTTGTACCTCTTCAGGTAATGTCCTATAAGGACTTAATTTTCCAGAAAGATAAATTCTAAATTATAGAACGGAAGTGAAGTAATCTATGAGTAAAAGCCTTTCTCCAAGCTAGGCAATTTCAGAAAAGGGATGGTTAATTTAGATCAGTGTTTTTCAAATGTTGGCTATGACACACAATGAAAAATACATTTCATTGTGATCTAGTATATGTATACATCCACAAATATGGTGCACGCATGTACTCACGTGTGTACCTGTATACATGAGTATATAGATGTGTATGAATGTATGTATAAGAAAGTAATGCTTTTCTAAGCAGTATTTACCCTTTCTATGTGTGATGTACTTTTGACATTTTGTATTCTATTAAAAAAATGCTGGATGAGATTGACTGAAATGATTTCATGATCCACTAATGGATAGTACTCTATATTTTGAAGAACATTGATTTAGGTCATTAGGACACCAAGTTGCAAATCATCTTTTCATAGCTATAAGAAATATCTGAAAAGCATAAATCATTCCAGTATTGTATAAACCATTTCCAGGTGACTAGGTCTGCATTACAACTATGTATATGTAATTTTATATTACGTTTTAGTTTCTGGTGGACTTGATGCTGATTTCTATTTCCCCTGCCCTTTATAGTGACCAAAATGTGGATATTAATGAAGAACAACTGACTGGTTGTCTTCTGAGAAAACTAGGTGAGAGCCGTATTTTAAATAGTTTTTTAAATTGTAAGAAGCAAGGTAGCAGTAAATAAAGTAATGTGTCTTTGAAGTCTTATATAGATCATAGTTATCTTCAACAGTGTGGAGAATGTTCTTCTCAATGAATTAATGTCCTTTAGAGATAGGGATTTTTTTCTCAATTGATTGGTAGTTGAGCAGTAGAGAGAATACATGATTTGTTTACGGACAAAGTCAGTGTTAGAACTGAAACTTTTAACCCTTGAGCTCTTGGTCTTTACTATGAGAAATGTTACCTTGGAGTATCAGGCAGGTGTGCCATTTTAGGTGAGTTTATTATTAGATATGGAATGCCTGGCTATGTGTTGACGAGTTGATAGGATTCTAGATGTATTGAGTGTGGAAGATTGTAAAGAGTTATCTTGTCCTTCTGTCTCTAGATAGTGCTCTATCAAATGGGAATATTAAGTTGTCTCTTTTTTATGGCAATTATTAATATGATTAGTCTTTCAGTAGTTTTATTAATAGATGGAATAAATTGCTATTTAAACATTAAATGGGTAAAAGTTATGCTAACATATATTTTTAAAAAATTATTTTCTAGATGGCAAGATTGTTTTACCAGGCAACTTTTTGTATTGTACATTCTATGGACGACCATGCAAGTTGCAAGTGTTGAGAGTGAAAGGGACAGATGGCATGATATTGAGAAGGCCTCAGAATGACACTGATGCTCAAGGAATGGCCTGTGAACAGTCCAACATAGACACCAGTACCCTGGATGTAGCCTTACAGCTGAGCCAGTTAGATCTGGAAGAGCCTCGGGATCCAACATCAAGCAGTACTCCTTGCAAACCAGTAGATGACAGAATGATAAATGAAGCTAGTGACATTTTTTCAGATGTTACACAGATTCCTAGGGACAACAGTGGACTTGAACTAGCAGAGATCACAGGACTTAAATGTAGTTTTGAATTGGCCAAAGGAGGAAATGAGCAACTTGTTAATGAAGAGAGATTGCTAAAGTCAGCCTATGTGGGAACAAAGCACAACACTGATACTTTTTATTTTATTTCTTCAACAACGAGAGTGAATTTTACAAAGATTTGTACAAATTCAGAAGAGCAAGACAACCAATTCAAAGTAACTTACGACATGATAGGAGGCTTAAATAGTCAGCTGAAAACAATTAGAGAAATAATTGAATTGCCTCTCAAGCAGCCTGAACTTTTCAAGAGTTACGGTATGATTCCTTCAGTGTATTGCACCCAGAAGTATTAAATTCGAACTAAAAAGCAGTTGGCTCATTCCATTTAAATAATTGTTCACTTTCTGTGCTCGCTTCGGCAGCACATATACTAAATAATTGTTCACTTTCTTTTCTTGTTTTTTTTTTTCCTGAGTAGTAGGTATGGTAGGAGGTGTGAGTTGCTTTGGGAGATGCCGGTTAAATTGTGAGCTTTTTTTCATGCTTTATCTCTTTAGATTGTAATGTGAGTTAGTTGCAGCCTTGTATCTTCTAATTGCATACTTCCACAATTGTTTGTATTTGATCTAGAATTGGTATCTTGTCATTCTAGATGAGCTGCAATGACCAAAGAAGTAAACCAAACATTCAAATATGTTGGGTAAAATTTCTTTGTTAGGAAATGTAGCTGTGTGCAGATCTATTTGCATTTAAGCAAGTGGTTAAGGGAGTGATTGGCTCCTAGGAAACTCAGGGATTCCTCTCTATGGTAATTGCCCAGATCCTCTGCATGTATTTGATGCCTACCATCTCTTTCTCTGCCTTTTCCTTTTTCATGAGTCTATATATAAATATGGAATGAACCCTTGGATTGACACTTTGCTAGTAATCTTTATATAGTCTAAGTTGGCTAGTTGGATGAAAATTAAGATTGATGGCTTGTTTTGGATGTCCTTGTTCTTGTCTGAGCTTTGTGTTCTGATTATTGAACTGTGCTGTGTGGGATGGGACATAGCAATTTTGTGGATGTCCAGCCAGTTTTTCACCAGTGTGCCTGGCCTGGTTGGGTCTACTGAGAGAGAAAAAATCATTTCTGGAGATCAGTGTTTGGGCCAGTTAATACATTTTGAGGGGAAGGGGCAGGGTCAGAAGGTCTGACTCTTACTTTAGTTTTGTGATACAAGGTAAATTTACAACTCATGTTTGCAATCATATGATAACACAAGAAACCTAGTAATGTTCAATACAGTCTTCTTTTTCTTCTAGGAATTCCTCCACCTAGAGGAGTGTTACTCTATGGCCCTCCAGGTACTGGGAAGACCATGATTGCTAGGGCTGTTGCTAATGAAGTCGGAGCCTATGTTTCTGTAATTAATGGTCCTGAAATTATAAGCAAGTAGGTGCATAATTCAATAGAATAAAGAGTTTTATTAAATACTTCTTAAATGTGTTTCAAAAAAATGACTGCATAGCATTCCCTCTGGATATTCATATGTTGAAATACTTTAAATTTGCTTTTAATTGTGTATAAAAATTAAGTTTTGAAAATAATTTTTGAAAGTAGTTTTAAGTATTCTGGAAATATTTGAAAAGTCAGATGAACTTTTAAAGACAAAACTTTAAAAACACTAAAAGTTGGTCCTTAAATGTATTTTATTTGTTACAGATTCTATGGGGAGACAGAAGCAAGGCTACGTCAGATATTTGCTGAAGCCACTCTACGGTATTCTTTACATTTAGATGTTTGTAATTAGTAGTCAAGGATATTGTAATCAAAGTACACTTACTAACACTATATGAAACATGAAAGAACAGTACAAAAATAATACCAATAGCACTAGCAATGATTGTAAATCTAATGAAGTTGTATTTAATGTATTTTTATCTAATATTGCCTTGAAAGTTTGATAAGTGAGTTACTGCATTACATAAAGTAGGAGAATTAAAACAGATGGTAGGTCAGGTGATTTTGCTTGAGCATATAAATGTATGATTTTCTTTCTTTAGAATATCTAGAGTACTTAGGCATATCCAGTTTATCTAGTTGCCTTAGTAGATTGTATCATAGTAGCCCTTTATGCTTAATTTTTTTTTATTATAGTTTGCTTCAAAGAGACAAATATGTTGCTCTTTAGAAACAGTTCGCTTTGATTATTCCTCAGTTTAGGCTACCTATTGCATTGCATTGAGTGTAAGAGTGTGGTCTATAACATGGTCTAATGTAATGTTATTTGTAATAAGGCTGTCTCTACCACTGTTTTGGTTTTTAACTTACCATAATTCTACACTTGTCAAAGGAACTTTCATATTTAAAGTTTTTTTTCCCAGAGACAGCAGATGAAAAAAGTAGTTGGTTGTCCCAATACTAAAAATTTGAGAACCAGTGGTGTACCTTATTATGTAGTATGTTTTTGTTGTTATGTTCCTGGAAGTTGAAGCTTTCTATTGTGAGAGAATTCACATCGTTTTATGGGAGAACTCATCATCTTGAGAGTTCTTTTTTTAATAGGCTAAAAAAAAAAAAGAGAGGGTGAGCATTTGGAATTTCTTTCTTTTTTTAATGTTTATTTATTTTTGAGAGAGACACTGCGAGTCGGGGAGAGGCAGAGAGTGAGGGAGACACAGAATCCAAGCAGGCTCCAGGCTCTGAGCTGTCAGCACAGAGCCTGATGCAGGGGTTGAACCCACAAACCTTGAGATCATGACCTGAGCTGAAGTTGGATGCTCAACTGACTGAGCCCCCAGGCACCACCCCCCCCCCGACTTTTTTTAGTGTTTATTGGAATTTCTATTCCTTGGAATTTACACCTGCTTCAAGGGACATCTCTGGCCTCATCTTCTGAATTGTTGCAATCATAACAATTTATTGGGCATTAGCAGTCAACTTCTGTTTGGGTATAGACTCATGAGTAGTAGACTATTCTCAATAGTCTTCTTTTTATTGAGTTCAGATGTGTTAGAACAATTAATCTAAGGTTTTTCATCCTATTGCCTTTGTCTTAATATTATTAATTAAAGCCCTAAATTTGATTCATTAAATTTCCTTTTTTTAGTTTTTTATTTTAATTCCAGTATAGTTTGCAGTATTATATTAGTTTCAGATGTACAATATAGTGATTCAGCAATTCCATATATCACCCATTGCTCATCAGGATGATTGTCCTCCTTAATCCCCATCACCTATTTCACCCATCCCTCTGGTAATCATCAGTTGTTCTCTATATTTAAAAGTCTGTTTTTTAGCTTGTCTCCCTCTTTCTCACCCTCTCTCACTCTATTTTTTTTTCCTTGCTCATTTGTTTTGTTTCTTAAATTCAAGGGTAAGTGAAATAATATGGTATTTGTCTTTCTCTTACTGACTTATTTTACTTAGTATTATATTTTGTAGCTCCATCCGTGTCATTGCAAATGGCAAGATCTCATTCTTTTTATGGCTGAATAATATTCCATTGTGTATTAATACCACATCTTCTTTATCCACTCATTTATTGATGGACACTTGGGCTACTTCCATAATTTGGCTATTGTAAATAATGCTACTATAAACATAGGGGTGCATACATACCTTTGAATGAGTATTTTTGTATTTTTTTGGTAAATACCCAGTAGTGTGATTGCTGGATTGTAGGGTAGTTCTGTTTTTAACTTTTTGAGGAACCTCCACAGTGACTGCACCAGTTTGCATTCCCACCAGCATAAGGCATGAGGGTTCCTTTTTCTCCACATCCACACCAACGCTTGTTGTTTCTTGTGTTTTTTATTTTAGCCAGTCTGACCAGTGGGAGGTGATATCTCATTGTAGTTTTGATTTGCATTTTCCTCATGATAAGTAATGTTGAGCATCTTTTATGTGTCTGTTGGCAATCTGTATACCTTCTTTGGAGAAATGTACGTTCATGTATTTTGCCCATTTTTAGTTGGATTATTTGTATTTTGGATGTTGAGGTATATCAGTTCTTCTTATGTTTTGGATAGTAACCCTTTATAGGATATGTCATTGAAAGTATCTTCTCCCATTTAGTAGGATTGCCTTTTAGTTTTGTTAATTATTTAGTTTGCTATGCAAAAGCTTTTTATTTTGATGTATTCCCAATAGGTTTTTTTTTTCCCCCTTGCCTTAGGAGACGTATCTAGAAAAATGCTTTTCTGGCCAATGTCAGAGAAATTACTGCCTGTGCTCTCTCCTAGGGTTTTTATGGTTTCACATCTCACATTTAGGTTTTTAATTCATTTTTGAATTTATTTTTGTGTATGGTGTAAGTTTCATTCTTTTGCATGTGCATTTCAGTTAAGAATTTAAGAGTACTCCCTTTTAGTTTTGTAATTGGAATGGATTGTATCAAATTTAAAAATCATATGTATATTAAAGAATTCATTTTACTTGTTTTTTTCAGGCACCCATCAATTATTTTTATTGATGAGCTGGATGCACTTTGTCCTAAAAGAGAAGGGGCTCAGAATGAAGTGGAAAAAAGAGTGGTAGCATCACTGTTAACACTGATGGATGGTATTGGTTCAGTAAGTATAGCACCAGTATTGATTCTGTGTAGGAAAGGGTTGCCTCTTAATAATATGTATGTAGTAGCAAAAACTAACAAATATGTCTGAGTTTTGGGGTATTCTAGGATAGGGAAAAATATTAGCCATAAAAACTAGAGGAAAGGCCCCTAAAATAATTTTCTTCAGCAGAAATCTTAGTAACTTCTAGGATAGTATACCTGCACTGTATTTTTTACCGTATAAAATAATATACAATGATGGATTTCTTTTATAATAAATGATATTAACTTAAAAACTGGAAGCGGGGTGCCTGGGTGGCTCAGTCGGTTAAGCCTGTGACTTTGGCTCAGGTCATGATCTCACTGGTCACGTGTTCAAGCCCTACGTTGGGCTTTGTGCTGACAGCTCAGAGCCTGGAGCCTGTTTTGGATTCTGTCTCCCTCTCCGTCTCTGCCCTGCCCCCACTCGTGCTCTGTCTTTCTTTTTCAAAAATAAATAAACACAGGGGCGCCTGGGTGGCTCAGTTGGTTGAGTGTCCGACTTTGGCTCAGGTCATGATCTCATGGTCCATGAGTTCCAGCCCCACGTCGGGCTCTGTGCTGATGGCTCAGAGCCTGGAGCCTGTTTCAGATTCTGTGTCTCCCTCTCTCTCTGACCCTCCCCCATTCATGCTCTGTCTCTCTCTGTCTCAAAAATAAATAAACGTTAAAAAAAATTAAAAAAATAAATAAATAAACATTGAAAAAATTATTTTAATAAAATAAAAAACAGAAACAAAAATCAGTAAAGAAGATTTAGATATATTTTAGAGGATTTTCTAAGAAATCTCATAATTAAGTCTTGAATACTCATGTACAAATTGATTCTTTTGGGGCTTTAAGTTTGACAGTAGAAAGGAAATAAAGAATAATGGAAAAATATGTGCAACATTTAAATTTTTTTTAATTAAAAAAATTTTTTTATGTTTATTTTTGAAGAGAGAGAGAGAGAGAGCGCAAGAGAGAGAGGGAGAGAGCGCAAGCTGGGGAGGTCAGAGAGAGGGAGAGAAAAACCCCAAGCGGGCTCTGTGCTTTCAGTGTGGAGCTGGACATGGGGCTTGAACTCACGGATTGTGAGATCATGTTCTGAACCGAAACCAAGAGTCAGACGCTTAACCAACTGAGCCACCCAGGTGCCCCTGTTTGTGCAGGGTTTAAAAAGAAGCTACCCATGATAGATTCTATAGAATCTATAGATTCTCTCTATAGATTCTCTGATAGGGCATACACTTGCAAATTAATAAAGACTGTGCTGCTTGTGAAAGGAAGATCCATAGATGTAGAAGCAGGAATGAAGAAAAATTCTTTCAGACTCCTGACAGCCATTTACCAGAATACATTTCTTATGCAGGATTTTTACATAAATAACTCGTTTTGTAGAGTCATGTTAGAACCAAAAGAAATTTTAGAAATCATGTAGTCCCAAGTCCTCCTTTTGCACATTGCAAAACTGGACTGTTAGAACTTTTTGGTTTTTACTACTTGTTGGTAAAAACTAAACATGTGAAAATAATGTGAAGGTTGGGTTTTAAGTGTCTGTTATTTGCTAACATGCGTTACAATTTTAAGAGTAACATTAGAGAAGAGTTGAACCTGGAGGAAGCTGGATGACCACCTCGTTCTCAGTCTAGGTGCAATAACTAGGTGTGATCATCCCAGGTTTGGTTCTCCGTCTTTAAAATTGGAGAGTTCGGTGATGTTAGTATGTTGGAGGTGGCAGGGCTGAGGATTGACTCACAATAGCAACACTCACGAGAGACATACATAAACTGGGATGCCATTTTGTCTATTTCTAATAAGAATATCATCATTAAGCCAACCAGATATCTTTGTTTATGGTTGAATCTTTTCATCTTGAAGACAAATATGTATGGAGAGCTGTATTATAATTAGAAGAGTTTTTGGGAAGTATAAAATCAGATGGAAGGCTTTGTGTTGGAGGGTCTTAATTACTATGTCATTCTGCTTTCTCTGCTGCTAGGGTAAGTCTACTCTGGACTGGTGTTCTTGTCTATGGGCAGGACTGGAAGCATCTGACACTGATGTTTTAGTGTGAAAATGCTTAAGGGCCTGTATTTATCTTCTAAATTCGTAATTCATAGATTTTATTGTAATCCATGCATTTTCTGTTGGCACATCCAGTACAATTGAACAGGTTGAGTTTTCTTACTTTCAATCACGTTTCAGTTAAACTTGTATTATACTGTATCATCAGAATAGAGTGTTGGATAACCTCACAGGTGGCTGATCATTATGTTAGTTTTTTATAATTTGTTGTTTTAAATTTCATTCCTGGGGCACCTGGGTGGCTCAGTTGGTTAAACATCTGACATCGGGTCAGTTATGATCTCATGGTTCGTAGGTTTGAGCCCTGTGTTGGGCTCTGTGCTGGCAGCTCAGGGTCTGGAGCCTGCTTTGGATTGTGTTTCCCTCTCTCCCTGCCCCTCCATTCATGAAGATGGTGAAGTTTAGATGCTAAAAATGGGAGAGACATCACTTACTATAGTTGGAAAGGTAATTATTGGAAAACTTTCTAGGTGAGGGAGTATTTAGGCTGAACTTAGGAAGATATGGGATGAGTAATAAAAGTGTAACGGGTAGGACTTAGCAGCCTGGACAGTTAGATTCATCTGATCTACAGAGCCAGTGCCAATATGTTTATTACTTTTAAAAGTAATGATATTTATTCTCATTTTGTTAGGAAGGAAGTGAAGGACAAGTGTTGGTCCTTGGGGCCACAAATCGCCCTCATGCGTTAGATGCTGCACTTCGAAGACCTGGACGATTTGATAAAGAGATTGAGATTGGAGTTCCTAATGCTGAGGATCGGCTAGATATCCTCCAGAAACTTCTTCGAACTGTACCCCATTTGCTCACTGAAGCTGAGCTGCTACAGCTGGCAAATAGTGCTCATGGGTACGTTGGAGCAGACTTGAAAGCTTTGTGTAATGAAGCAGGTGAGTGTGCTTTGCTACTGTAAGTCTGTATTGATGGGCTTCATAAAGCTGGTTTATTTACATGCTGATAATTTATGTCATATATCTTAATGGAAATAGGTAATCATTTCTAATTATATATATATTGAAAACTAGATACATCAGAAAACTGTTGAAAACAAATAAAAATCATGCTTAATCTTCTAAAGGTAACCACTATTACAGCCTACATCCTTTTATACTTTTCCTAAGTACACATGTACACACACACACAGTATCAGATGCATTAATGGCAGTTTTGATGATGACAATATTTATTGATATTGTGCTGTGAAAATTAGGGAGAAGTGCCTACAGGAGGATCAAAATTTTCCTTATGGTGAAGCTTTGTATTTCTTGAATTGCCAAAAAAGTACTTAGCAAAACCTGGAATTCTGTGCCTCAGAGTATGTGATGGTGTTATTTAAGTCTGAAAATGTATAAGGGCTGTTATTAATCAGTTGAGTCTTTGACTCTAAGAACTTTACCATAGCATAACTGTATTTACTTGGAAAGCCCTTAATACCTTTTGACATTTGTGTAATTTTTCAGAGTAATTTTAACTATGAAAAATATTCAAATCAGGGCAGTTTTTATAAGGTATTGAAATAAGAATATATTGAGAAAATATGTAATAGTTTTTTATTGCTTTTGTTTGTTTATTTTTTGGTCTCAAGAGGTTGTGTTTATTTTCTGGTAACCTCGAAAAGCTGGGCATATACCTCAAGGCATCTCTGGTGTGCCAGTAATCTTAGGTTCCTTAAATTTATTCCCATTTCTTGTGCGGGCATATGTTTTCTAAATCCTTTTATACTTTAGAAGGAATTTTTTCATTTGTTGTACTCTCTGATTCCAGTTTGTGACTGATCCAACGTTTTCAAAAGGTGTTTTAAAGAAAGTTTAGCCCGTTTACATACTAATGAAAGAAATTAAATTTTTAGTTGGAACTTTAGAGTTTTAGTATAGAAATATGGTAACTTTTACTTTCACATTATTGATTCACACTTACATCTAAGGTATTAGGCTTTTAAAACCCTTCCATTAGTCCTTTTATCTTTCTAATCTTGCTCAATATTGCAGGGAAGAGAATATAGAACAAAACAGGTTGGAAAAGAAAACTTGGAAGAGATTTTTAGGGGTCCTTGAATATCTTACTTTTGGTGGAGAAAATCAGCTTTTATTCTATTTGATCATTGTCACAGTTTCCATGATAGAGGATGCACAACTGGGGGAGACTAAACATTCTTTTGGTACATTATGGTCTAGGACAGATCCCTTTCTATCTAGTTTCTTGTGCTTCACAAGAAATGGTGGGTGTAGTCATGGAAGTGAATTCCCTAGTGATCAAGAAGCAGAAGTGTCAGTGTGGATAACTTTGCTTCCTTTATTCTATTAGGTTATAATGAAGAGTCTGAATTACTATGTAGGCATTGCTTTGGACTTTCCCATCTCGACGAGGATTCATTCTTCAGTATCTTTTATCAAGCATTTTTTTTGACTTTCTAATACATTCATGCATTCTAGAAGGTTCTGGGATTCTTGCTGTCCAGAAACACACAATATGATAAAGGAAAGGGATTTGTGAACAACTACTTAACACAGTGGTATATGTACTCCTAAAACTTTGGAGAATGTAGTAACTTCTCCTGTGGGGAAAGGAATGCTGTGGTTATATGATTTAAGTTTTAATTTCACAAGTTAGAATAGTCCAGAAATTAAGTTGTGTCCTGAGACATTAAAGGGAATTGTGATAATGTAATTTACATACATACAGATGTAAATAGGACCATCTGCTTTTGTAGGCTGTGTGGTACCCCCAAGAACTTCAGGAAAATGACAAGAAGATTTGAGAGTTCTGACATTACATTTAAATGAAATGTAGGTTTCATACATTTAAATGAAAAAGTTGTGAAAGGGTCAGAAGGTGGGATGGAGAGGGGCCTCCAACCTGAAGTTATGTACATATGTATGTATGTATGTATGTGGGACATATGTGGTACATACAAACAGTAAATAAATATTAACTTATGTTAATGTGACTTAATAGTAATTTCAAATTGTAAGTATTGAATTTGTCTTTTTCCCTCCAATCTAGCAATGAATTGGTTTATGAGAAAGTAATTTTTAAAAGATTAGCATTATAATTAGAGTTTAGGGAAAATATGTGGTTTTGTGTATACTGCCTTAAATACTAGTGTATGTTGTGTTATGTAGCATCATTCCTTACCTAGCAGAATAAGGTTTAAGAACAGTGTACTAGAATGTTTTTGCAACGCGTTTTTCTAAAGAGACAGGGGATATAGTAGAAAATGGATTTTGAGGGTTGGACAGACTTTGGTCAAGTTCTTTGCCTTATCTGAGTCTTAGTTTTCCCCATTTGTAGATTGAGGGGGTTGTGGTAGATGGTATCTAAGTGCCCTTGTAAATATGACATCCTCTAGGTAAAAGGGAAAACAAAGAAATGGGGCGGGGGGGGGGGTGGACCAACGAAAGGATAGGAAGGATTAGAAAAAGGAAGGGGGAAAATAATAAAGAAATAACCAAGTTACTCACTAAATATGGCCTGGCCTCATTAACTACTTTCTTCATACATCTGTCTGGCCTTTCTGCCCTTTATTGTCTTCTCTTTTGTACCTGTTTGTCTGAATAACTGAAACTTAAGTGATTAGTTGGGGCTTTCTCCTATGGTGTTCTTAGAAATAATAACACAAAGCAGACTAAGGTCAGTTGTGAAGTTAACTGTATTTTCTCATTGAAACAATTTTATAATTTCTGACTATGGATTTGGTTGGCATGAGTAAATTATAAATTTGGCTAATAGTACAACTCAGAAGGAAAGATAAAACAGCTCTAAAACTCAGCGTTAAAAATAGTAGAATTATACTCCAAGTGCTATAGAATAGGCATAAATGTATCCCACATATTGAACACCCAGGGGTATTCCCATATATTACAATGTGTATATTGAGCATAGGAAGAATAAACCCAGCTGTATGGTAAATTTTAACTACTTAGTTATAAATAAAAAGAATTGAACACTTAATGTTGTCTCCTACCTAAATTTAGAGGTTATTAGAAAATAATTTGAATGGGTTTCAGTCTTTTAAAATGACTACTACCTAGGGAAGTTTGAACTTTTTTTTTTTTTCAAACATGTAGTTTCCTGGGGCAAATAGAAGCAGTTGCAATCATTACATTGACCTTAGAATTATACTCAAAGTGGGGCAACCAGGTGGCTCAGTCAGTTAAGGGACTGACTTTGGCTCAGGTCATGATCTTGCAATTTGTGAGTTCAAGCCCCGCGTCAGGCTCTGTGCTGGCACCTCAGAGCCTGGAGCCTGCTTTGGATTCTGTGCCTCCCTCTCCTTTTCATGCTCTCTCTCTCTCTCTCAAAAATAAATACAGGTTAAAAAAAATTAAAAAAAAGAATTATACACAAAGTTAGAATCACTGTTTTTATTTAAAAAAATTTATTTAATGTTTATTTTTGAGAGAGAGAGAGAGAGAGAGAGGGACAGAGCATGAGTGGGAGAGGGGCAGAGAGAGAGCGAGACACAGAATTTGAAGCAGGCTCCAGGCTCTGAGCTGTCAGCACAGAGCCTCACCCGGGGCTCAAACCCATGAACTGTGAGATTTTGACCTGAGCTGAAGTCAGATGCCCAACCGACTGAGCTATCCAGGGACCCCCTAGAATCACTGTTTTTTTTTAAAAAGAATCAAGATAATACCTTAATATTTGGAGGTAGTGTTAATAATTGCTGGTACATAGTAAGTGCTCAGTAAGTATTTGATCTGATAAGAGTATGTGAAAGCTGGGAGACTTAATGAGAGTTAATTACCACCCCACTCCCCTTGAGTAATAAAAATGTTTATTAACCTGAGAGTTGAATCAGTTTTGTTTTTAAACACCTGTGAGATTCATCTCCCCATCTCCTCTATTGTCTTCAGAAATCCCTGTCTGTGCTGAGGAAACAACTCCATGTGGTTATTGCTACCTTTATAAGTAGCAGCAAACAAAGTGTTCTTTGAATCCTTAAATAACTGCTGCTATTTTCTTGAAAATTCCAGTCCATTTTTGACTTCCCACTGACAAGCTTTCTTAGCTGTGGCTCTGGCTATGGACTTTATATTTTATTTAAAACCTGTGCTTTTCAGGAGGCATTTTCATTATTCACCAGTTGTACTGTGCTTAAGTGGACAGCTTGAGAATGTCCACTGGCATAGCTGGGAAGTAAGGCACTTTAACTTCCAGATTTGTGAGAACAGTGAGAGAGTCTAGCTCCAGGAGATGTATTCATGAGTACATAGTTAATTTTGTCTCTTTCTATTATGTATTCTTTTCCATGAAATCCATATACATTTCATATGTCCCCACTTCAGGATGGATCACTTGGAGCAGAGGTTCTCAGATTTTATTATATATCAAAATCACTTGGAGAACTTAGTAAAACCTTGGTGGGTGTGCCCCACTCCCAGAGTTTCTGATTCAGTCCTGGCCAGTGCCTGTGAATTCTCACAAGTTCCCAGCTGATGCTGTTGGTCTGGGGACTACATTTTAAAAGCCGCTGACTTAGGACATTGGTTCTTAAGCCTCATTATGCATCAGGTTCACCTGGGGAGCTACACACACACATTCCCTCTCCATATTTAATTAAGGGAAGTAGAGAACTGGAGCCAGTATTTATGTGTCCCAACTGATTTTGAAGCAGCCAGTTTTGTAGTTGCCTGTGAGCAAGTATTCTGAATCATTTAGGCCAGTGGTTCTCCAGTTTAAACCTGTGTAAGAATCATACGTAGAGCTTGTTAAAACACACTTCTGGGCCCTATCCTACTAGTTCATTAGGTCCAGGTGGGACCCAAGAATTTGCATTTCTATCAAGTTGTAGGTGATATCATTGCTGTGAGTCCAAGGGCTGCCATTTGAGAAGCACTGATCTTAATCCACCAACTCTCTGACTTTTTGAGATTCTCTGTGACTGGTT